TTGGTAGCCCAGGCTGGCCTCGAACTCACAGAGATCCACCTGCCTCTGCCTCCCGAGTGCTGGGATTAAAGGCGTGCACCACCACCGCCCGGCTCAGGCTCTTTTTTAATTGGAAAAAAAAAAAAAAAAAAAAAAAAAAAAAAAAACCTAGAAATGGGAAGTCTGAGGCAGAGTTCTCCTGCGAATGCCCGAGGATTCACTCCCCGAGTAACTGTCTGCAGTGTGAGCAAAGGGCTTGGCTGGTGTATTTTCTAACTACATATAGCCAGAAGCAAAGAGCTGTCTGCTGGAAACCTCCGCATATGTTAAAAGGTCTCTGTGTAGACACAGGGACACTGTTCACAAGCCCCACCAGACGAAAGTCTTCTTGAAATTATCCTTGACATCAAGATCCAGGGGCTGCCTAGACGACCCTGCACTAGGCTTTTTCCTTAAAAAAAAAAAAAAAAAACACTGCCTCCACAAACTCACGAAGATGACTACCATTAACCAGAATATAGGAAGTACTATCAAGTAGGTGGGGAAACCGGGGGCCTTGTGTGCTGTTGGTGGCAAGGGGAAATGGTGCAGATACCTGAAAACCAGTGCCGCAATTCCTTGAAAATGAACAATAGAATTGCCCTACAACCCAGCAATTCAGCATCAATGTGTATCTTCTAAAGAGCTGGAATCAGGGTCTTGAGAAGGTATGTGCACACTCATGCTCACAACATAAAAAGGAAGAATCACCCAGCATCATCGGCGAAGCATCTGTCTGGCAGCCAGACATCCATCGACAGAGCGACAAGAACATGTGGGATGATGGGAGATTACTCAACCTCCCCAAAGAGGAAAATCATGGAGGCTGAGGAAATGGCTCAGAGCATGAATCGCTTGCTGTGCTAGAGGGCAGAGTAGAACTCAGATCCACACCACCACATGGAAGTCAGGCAGGCAGGGTGGCACACCCCTAACAAGACCTGAGGAGGCAGAGAAGGGGAACCCCAAGGCAAGCTGGCTAGCTAGACTTTCCTCCTCAGTGAGCTCTGGGTGCAGCCAGAGAACCTGACCTCAGTCCGCAGCGTGGAGAGAGGAAGACACCCAACATCCACTCTTGGCCTCTATATACATGTACACACACACACACGCACACACGCACGCACGCACGCACGCACGCACGCACGCACGCACGCACGCGCAAGAAAAGGAGGGGAGGAGATTCTGCAAGCTGCCCCAAGACAGGCAGGATAAGCCAGGAGGGCAGTGAGGGTGTGAAGGAGGCCATCAAAACAGGACAGACGCTGCAGGAGCACTGTAGGAACTACCTAGAGAAAACAGCAGCAGCTACGGGAGCTGGGAGGGAACAGAAATGTGGAGTGGGCGACCTCTGGATGAAGGGTTTCCATTCTGGAGGAGCACAGTGATGGCTGCTCTGTGCTGCACACTTTAAATGACTTAAGGGCTGGGGATGCAGCTGAGCTGGTGCAGCGACTGCCTGGCGGGCACAAAGCCCTGGGTTTGATTCCCCAGCACTGGGTAAAACCAGGGACAGTGGCTGTGCAGCCTGCAATCCCAGGAGTGGGGAGGTAAAGACAGGAAAATCAGAACTTCAAAGTCATCCTCGGTGTGAGGTCAGCCTGGGCTATATGAGATCCCGCCTCAAAAATATCAGAAGAAGACGTGAGGTGCACCCCA